CGCGCCGCCCGGCCCCGGTGTCCATGCAGGCCATTAAGTGCGTGGTGGTCGGCGACGGGTGAGTGCCCGGCGGGGGCCCGGCGCCCAGCAGGACGGGGACGCCGCAGAGACCCCGGTGGCTCCGGCTCCAGGGCGCGGCCCGGGCGGAGAGGACGCGGTGCGCAGCCCGACAGGGGCGGGGTCGAGCCGACCTCCCGGCGTCGCGTGCCCTGGGCCGGGAAGGCGGGCAGCCCGGCAGCTGGCCCACCTGATGCTGCTGACCTCCCAGGGCCGCTGCCCTCTGGACTGCCGAGACCTGAGCGCAGGGCGAGGCGGGCTCTACGTCCCAGCCCCAGCCCGCCCTCCGCGGGGTGCGGCCAGGCCTCTCCCCTGGGTGGACCCTGGGTGGGCGTCCCCTCTCCTCCACCCCCAGCCCCTGTGCTCCCTGAGCGCCCGTCCCCACCGGCTGCTGCGGCGCCGCACCCACCACCCCGCCCCTCAGAGCCTCGTGTCCAGCCTCCTCCCAACGCCCCCCAACTCCGGGTCTCGGTGGCCGCCGCCGCCGGCTGGCTGGGACCCTGTCCCCACCCAGACACCTGCCTGCCTCCTGCTCGGTGGGAGGGGTCGCTGACAGTAACGTGGCTTGTGGTCCACAGCGCCGTGGGAAAGACGTGTCTGCTCATCAGCTACACCACCAACGCCTTCCCCGGGGAGTACATCCCCACCGTGTGAGCGGGCTCCCCGCCGCGTGGGGTGGGCTCCCGGCCGCGTGGGGTGGGCTCCCGGCCGCGTGGGGTGGGCTCCCGGCCGCGTGGGGTGGGCTCCCGGCCGCGTGGGGTGGGCTCCCGGCCGCGTGGGGTGGGCTCCCGGCCGCGTGGGCACGGGGCGGGCTCCAGGTGCCCGCCCCCCTCATGCCACTCTGCCCCGCAGCTTCGACAACTACTCGGCCAACGTGATGGTGGACGGAAAGCCGGTCAACTTGGGGCTGTGGGACACAGCGGGCCAGGAAGACTATGACCGGCTTCGGCCTCTCTCCTACCCCCAGACGGTAGGTCCCCCAGCCCTGCCTCCTGGGGGCCACCTGGGCCATTCTCCAAGACCCATGAAAGCCCGAGATGCACGTGGGAGTGGGGGCCTGGGGTACCCTTGCCTGATTCTCTCTGCCCACCCCTTTCCCCAGGACGTCTTTCTCATCTGCTTCTCCTTGGTGAGCCCAGCCTCTTTTGAGAATGTGAGAGCCAAGGTGAGTGTGGCCAGGATGCCAGGTGTGGGGAGTGGTGCCCAAAGACTGCCTCTGAGAGGCAGAGGGCAGGCATGCCACTGTGGGGAGGGTTCCCTGGATGTGGGCCCTGAGGGGCAGAGGGTGGGGGTGTCACCTTTTGGGGAGGGATCCCCAGGCCTGGTCCTAAGGAGCAGAAGTGCCACCCTCTGGGGTAGGATGCCCTGGACTGGCCTTGTTGGAGACAGGAAACTTCTGACTAAAGGCTTTGGACAGGCAAAGGGCCCTTTGGAGACACTTGAGGGTCATTCTCCTTGGGTGGACATCTAAGCTGGGGTCTGGAGGTAACTGGTGGGGTGGTGAGAGGTGAGGGTGGGGGCGGAAACTGTAGCCAAAGCACTGACTGTGAAACCCAAATCAGCCTGGAGACTGACTTCTGCAGCAGCCTGCAGGGACCAGGCATGGGTCTTCAGTACAGTGTGGTTGGGCCTGTGGGCCCTGCCCTGGGCAGGTGGGACGCTGGTGCTGAGAAGGCAGGGGCTTTGGTGTCTGCAGTGGTACCCGGAGGTGAGGCACCACTGTCCCCACACGCCCATCCTCCTGGTGGGCACCAAGCTGGACCTTCGGGATGACAAGGACACCATTGAGAGGCTGCGGGACAAGAAGCTGGCGCCCATCACCTACCCACAGGGCCTGGCCATGGCGAGGGAGATCGGTGAGCAGGGCTGGACATGGTGTTCCTCCTCCGTGCTGGCCTCCCTTGCCTCCCTTGGCCTGGCTGTCCCTCTGCAGGCTCTGCCCGAGCCGTCCTCTTCTCTAGGCTCTCAGCACTTTTATTGTGGTCTCCAGGTTCCGTCAAGTACCTGGAGTGCTCTGCGCTGACCCAGCGGGGCCTGAAGACGGTGTTTGACGAAGCAATCCGAGCTGTGCTCTGCCCTCCCCCTGTGAAGAAGCCAGGGAAGAAGTGTACGGTCTTCTAGAAACGTCTGCCTGCACAGAGGAGCCTCCCTCTGCCCAGTGTCTGCTGTGGTGTTCAAGTGTCTGATGTCCTGGAGTCTGCTGGGGGGCGGGGGGGGGCGGGGGGAGCATGGGGATGAGGCTGCCTGAGGGCACAGGCTCCTGGCCTCTTTCAGGGTGCGGGGCTCAGCCTTCCGCGTCCCCCAGAAGCTGGAAGGGAGCAGGGTCTCCCTCAGGGCTGCAGGGGCGAGTCCAGGGCAGGCTCAGGGCAGCTTCTCTGATGGGAAGGTTGGGCCAGGGGTCTGTCCACCAGGCTTGGGGTGGGCCGCTCTTATTTTATACAATAAACGTTCTCAACTACAGGCCTGCCTGCCTCACTCTGCTTCTTGTTCCGCTGTGCCTTGGGGGCTAGTTCTCAAATGCCCCATATGCCCCGGGGGCTGCCCACCTCGTGCCCTGAGGGATAGTTCCTGAATGCTCTCCCACACCCCACTCCCATGCTCTGTGGGATAGTTTCTGGATGCACCCCCCCATACCCCGGGCCCTGCCGAACAGTCCCTGAATGCCCCCTTGCACCCCCCTCCAGGCTAGTTTGAATGTCCCGTGTCTCCCCATGCCCTGCAGGATAGTTCCTGAATGCCCCCCCATACTCTGGGGGCTGGTTCCTGAATGCCCCCTGTGCCCTGAGGGCTGGTTCCTGAATATCCCTCCCCCCCCAACTGGGGGCCGGTTCCTGAATGTCCCCCAGCCAAGGATCTGCATCACTGAGAACAGCACTTCAGGGTGTGGTTCCCCTGAGAAACACCAGAGGGAAGGAGGCTTGGAAGGCTGCCTCAGTTTCCCAAAGAACACAACTCAGATCACGTGGAGTAAACATATTTGACCTGAACTCAATAAGACACAACGTTGCCCTGGAATGGGACATACAGGGCCAGGAATGTCCCCTCATACAGCTTCATCCTTGACCCTGGGGTACACTTGATGGAACCCCATGGCCAAGCAGGGCTGCCCATACGTGGGGAGAAATAACGGAGGGCTGGCAGTCACCTGTCCCCAAGAATAGGAAGCTTGGGGGTCGCATGCACTGGCCTCATCAACGGGACCCAGGAACCAACTGCGACTATTAAGAATAGGGAGTCAGCCTGGGGCCAGGGAACAGGGCTTCAGGCTTGCCCGAGGCCTCGGGGCACCACTTGGACAGATGATGTGACCAGAACATAACGGACCTAACTGGAGATGCCAACGGCTGAAGTGTCAGGAATAGTGTTCGCTGTCATCACTGCGCCCCGGCCGTCGCGAACAGTGCGTGACAGCGGCTTAGAATGCAGTGAGCTGCTTCATGAACAGAGCTCTCCACTTGGGATTATCTCTGAGACTGTCATCACCTATGCTTTTGAGGTTGTCCACATCTATAGAGCCTGCATGTCGTGGGGCCCACGTCTGTGGAACCTGCACACCCGTGGAACTCCATCTGTGGAACTGGCAGGTCTATGGGACACTGTGTGGAACCTGAACATCTGTTCTGTCTCATCCGTGGAAACTGCACGTCTGTGGAACCCCACTCTTGGTGGTACAGGATGATCACCACAGCAAACATCTGCGCCCTCGTTCAATGACATTAGACTGGTAGCTTAAGATCATCTACAATACAAATATCTATACCATTGAGTGACTCACAGCGGACCCTCGGCAGGTATCTGGCCGTAACCCACAGGTTGTGAGCAGTCTCCACTGCTCATCCTCCTGGAGCTGTTCGTGGATTTGAACTGTCAGAGGCTCAGCCCTTTGGTCCACAGTGCACTCTCTGGACAAAGCCACCACAAACATTACAAATGGCCTCAGCTTTTCTTTGAAACCAGTGGGGAAGTGTCAGTAAGGAGATGGATGCTCAACGTACAGCACCTGGAGCTGTTAGCTTGTGAGGTGCACACAAAGGTGCCCATCAGCCTCTGACACAAGCATCCATGACAAATGTGTCCCCCTAGCCTGACTGAGTTCTGGCCTTTGTCCTCTCTGCCTCACTCCTCACTCATTAACTTGGAGGAATCTTCACTCATTTAGTGGAGTCACATTTGCCAGGTGGAGGGTGGCCAAGACACAGTCTACCACGCCCACTTCAGGGTCCGGACAAGGTCACAGGCCTTGCTGGCAACATTTGCAGCAGACCCAGGAGTCAACCTCCTGAAAAGCCTGATGCTCCACTCTGCCCAGGAGCTAGCGGATGTGGGAATCAGGGACCACCTTGGCCTCTCTGGTGAATGGATTAGGCCTCTCTCTGAGAGAAGCCCTCCTACGCCCAGATCCAGAATCCAGCACCTCCAGGCGACTGCTCGCTGTCTAGGAATCCACACCCAGACCAGGCACCGAGAGGCTGTTTATTGGAGGGAGAAGGGATGCAACCAGGCACGGAGAGGGTGTTTATTGGAGGGAGAAGGGATGCAGAGTAGGCCAGCCTCTGGCCAGGTGGGTGTGGACAGGAGCTCAGGTAACCAGGAAGCCCCCATCCACAGGGAGGGTGGAGCCGGTGGTCATGCCACTGCGGTCACTCAGGAGGAAAAGGATGCTGTCCACCACATGCTCTATCTCTGCAATGGGGACAGGGCAGATGAAAGGGGTCCCCCAACGCTTCCTTCCACCCTTCATCTGGGGGAAGTCAGCACTTCACCTGCTCCACTCACCAGCAAACTGGCCGAGTGGGATGCGGTCTAGCATGGACTTGGCCTTCTGGGGGTCACTCCAGTTGGCCCGACCCATGGGTGTCATCACCACTGTGGGGTTCACTGCATTGACTCGGATCTGAGCAAGACAGACAGGGTCAGCCAGGAGGGCCAGATGCCTGGTGCCCACCCAGGTTGGGTGGCCCCGTGAGCTCACCTTGTGTGGCCCCAGCTCCAGGGCCATCACCTTGGTCAGCATGTCCATGGCGCCCTTAGTGGAGCCTGTGGGGAGGGGGAGCGTGAGGCCTGATGCTGCAGGCTGGGGGGGGGGACACAGGCTTGCTCATAGTAAAAGTTGGGGTCCAGTGCAATCAGAGCCTACAAAGGGCTCATTCACAGGAGACACTGGGGGGACCAGTGTCCAGTGGGAGGACGCGGGGTCCACTCACAATAGACACTGTGGTTGGTCAGGGCACGCTGGGAGGCCTGGCTGGAGACATTCACAATGGAACCAGGGATCCCCCGGTTGATGAGGCTCTGGGCCACAATCTGGAAGGGGAGAGAGACATGAGGCCAAATGGCACCCTCTTCCTGCCTCGCACCTGGAGGGCAGCTTACCTGGGACACCTGGACGACAGAGCGCAGGTTCACCTCAAAGGACCTGGAGGTGGGGCAGCAGAGCCAGAACTGTTAGGGCCTGGGGCGACTCGGTGGCAGCTCCTCCCCCAGGGTCGTGCAGCCGCTCACTTGTCAAAGGCCTCCTTGGTGACCTCCAGAAAGGGCTGTAGCAGGGCCACGGCGGCGTTGTTCACTAGCAGGTCCACGGGGCCGATGCCACTCAGCGCCCGCTCCGTAGCCTCCCAGTCAGCCAGGTCCACGCACAGGGGCTCGACCCCGGGACACTGCGGAGGGGGAAGTGGGTGCTCAAGGTGGGGACCAACTGGGAGGTAGAGGGCGGGATCTGGGAAGTCTTTCAACTGGACAGGGGCCTGAGGGGCAGTCACTCTTAAATCAGGACTCTGGATGGAGGGCGGTGCCACGGCCTAGCCGCTGGATGAGTCCAAGGCCTGAGGCCAGCCCACTTCCTCCCTGCCAGAGCGCCCTGCCTGCTTCCAAGCGCCATGGGAGGGTCCCGAGGGGCCTCGGTTACACAGCGATTGGCCCCCGGGGGCGGAGGGGGCGTGACCGTCTAGTCCCGCCTCTCCCACAGCTCCCAGAAGGCAACAGGCCGATCGGACGGCAGCGGCCACGGCTGCCTTACCTCGCGGACCAGGCTGTCCAGGTCGGCCCGGGTGCGGCTTAGGGCTACAACGTGCACGCCCGCCGCGTGCAGCGCGCGGACCACGCTGCGCCCGATGCCTGCGGAGGCGGGGAAGCGGGGTTCAGTGCGCGGCCTCCCTGCCTTCTCCGCCCGCTGCCCGGCCGCCGACTGCCCTGCCCACCTTTGCCCGCCCCGGTGACGAGCGCCCGGCGGCCTGCGAGGCCCAGCTCCATGCTGCTGTTTTTGGTCTGCACGCCCGGATGGACTTCGAGCTCTGGGCAGGCGATGTGTGTAGGGCTCCGGGCGGCAGCCAAACTGGAGGCTCCGTGGGGCGGAGCCATGCAAGTAAACGTCCTGTTCGCGTGTGTGATTGGTCAGAAGAAAGGAACTTGGCCGTGGGTGGGCGGGATTATGTAAATCTAAGTCAAATACGCTGGCGTGAATGGCCAAATGCGCGCGTGTTTGAGGGCGTGTCCAGTCTCAGGGGAGGGTCTCAAGGCTGTACGATGTAGCCAATCGAGAGGAGAGGTGCAACTATAGGTCCTTTTTTTGCTCGCGATTGGCGGAAATTGATGGGCGTGTCCGGGGGGGGCGGGAGTGTTTCTCAGAATGAAGACCCCACAGAAAGCACCAAACCTGGTATTTTTCCTTGCCAAGATTATTTTGTAAAGCAGTTCTGGTGTTTAATGTCAGAGGAGTCTGTGACTTTACACAGGAAATGGAGGGGTCAGGGCTAACATTTGTTGCTTTATTTTGGAGAAGAAAGTCTGGCAGACGATCGTTCTGTATTCCCTACCTAGCAACCCGGTATTGGTCAAGAGGTCTCAGAGCAACCCACCACTTGGCCTGCGGCACCCAGAGGGGAAGTGCACCAACTCAGCCCGGCTGCCACAAGGCCAGGAGCATTTGCAAAAAATGGCGTAGCACAGCAAGGGCCAGATTTGTGGACAGCGAGCACAGCAGCCCGCACATGCACACAGCTGGACGTGTGTGTGTGTGTGGTCAGTGAACCCAGGGTAAAAGCTGTGCTTGTGCCCGCCCAGGTCCTGTTGTGGCTGAGCCTGGCAGGATAAGCCAGCTTGTCACACCTGGCTCCCCAGAGGCCCTGCCTCTACCCATCTGTCAGCCCTCTTCTGAGGCTATCTTTGCTCTGGAACCCTAGGATTCCTTCTCTCCTCCTCCCCACTGCTCCTCAGCCCACACACCAGGGCTCATGGTGTCAAGACTGACCACGAGGGGCAGTGCAGCTCCTGCCCCTCACCCCTTGCAAAGGACTGGAAGAGCTGCACTACTGTCCTTTGGTCACAAGGCAGGGGTCACCGTGGCTTCAGGTGCCTCAGGTCTGCCCTCATCTCTTTAGGGAAGGGGACATGTCCCACCACTGCCCCTCTCTTCCCCGCTCTCAAGCTCCAGTGAAGTCAGATCTAGGAGAGAGCCTGTTTATTTAGGTGAAATTGATCGGAGGTGGGGTGGGGACAGGGCAGTGGGGCAATCTGAGGGCAGCTGTCCCCTGTGGACTGGGCTCAGGAATGGGATTCAGGGCTGTCCAGGCTTACATGAGATGGACAGGAGGGCATGTGGGGTCCGGAGCCCCGCTAGGCCTTCTAAGAAGCCAAGTAGCCAGCATCCACCAGAATGCCCGAGCCGCTGGTGGAGGCACTGTAGTCGCTCAGTAGGAAGAGAATGCTGTTTACCACGTCCTCCACCTCTGCAGACAAGTGCCAAGGGGGGGCATGAGGGGAAACAGAGTCCGGGTAGAGGGTGGCAGAGAGAGGAGGAGTCTCGGGACTAGAGGGGAGAGAGAGAGAGAGAGCGAGCAGAGCAGGGACACAGGTCAGGGGAGCAGGGGGAAGGGCCCAGGGAGTTAGGAGGGAATGAGAGGAGCAGAGTTGGGGGAACAGGGTTGGGGAGCAAGTTGCAGGGGCTGGGGGATTTAGGAGGGAATGAAGGGAGCAGAGTGAGGGGGCAAGGTGCAGAGTCTGGGGAGAATCCAGGGAAGTTGGGGACAATGAGGTGGGGCCCAGCAGGGTGGAGGCAGGGGAGGGGCAGCTTCTGAGAGTTGGAGTCAGGGCTGGGGACTGTCTGACCTGCAAATTTCTTTAGTGGGTGACGCTCTTTCAGCTTCCTGGCAAACTCTGGGTCTTCAGAAACTCTCTTGCCCATGTTGGTCAGCACCACCGTGGGGTTCACTGAGTTTACCCGGATCTGGGGGTCCAGGGGAAAGCAGGGTAGCCTCAGCCACATGACCCACAAGTCCCCCCAACAGCCCTCAGGATTCAACTCATTGCTAAGTCACCCAATGCCACTGTCCAGAGCCTGTGTGGCCCCAAGGCCTGCTGCCCCTCCCCATTCCTGTGCTCATCACCCACCCAGCTCCTCCTCCCCAGATCTACCTGTCGCCCCACCCAGATCACCCACCTTGTGAGGTCCCAGCTCCAAGGCCATGGTCTTGGTCAGCATGGTCATTGCGCCCTTGGTGGAGCCTATGAGGAAGGGTAGGTGAGGGCAGCCCCTGCCCATGTCCCATCCTAGAGTCGGGGCTCTGGACACAGGGAACCCAGCACTCACTGTAGGCTGACAGGGAAGGGAAGGCGACATGGGCCACCATGCTGGACACATTGACGATGGAGCCTGGCACACCACGCGCAATCATGCCCCGGGCCACGATCTGCAGGACAGGGCAGCACTGAGCCCCAGCTCAACTGGCATTCTGCTGGCCACTCTCCCGGACACACTCACCTGGGACACCTGGAAGACTGCTCGTAGGTTCACGTGGAAGGACCTGGCAGGGCAAAGTCCTGGTCAGAGCGTCAGGCCACTTCTCAGCCCTGCCCAGCCAGCCTGGGTCCTCACACCCACCTGTCAAAGACCTCCTTGGTGACCTCCAGAAAGGGATGTAGCAGGGCCACAGCAGCATTGTTCACCAGCAGGTCCACAGGGCCCACGCCACCCAATGCACGCTCCGTGGCCTCCCAGTCACCCAGGTCTACACACACGGGCTCGACACCAGGGCACTGTGGGGGCATGGCTGGGCACTGTGCACACGGGGGTCTCGGAGTGGGGTCTCGGGGTAAGGTGTTGGGGAGAGGTCAGGGCGAAGTCTCAGGGTAGGACCTTGGGAGTGGAGTCTTGGAGTTTTGGGGTGGTGCCTTGAGGGGTGTCACGGAGAGATTTAGGCCATGGGGCTGCCTACCTCGTTGGTCAGGCTGACGAGGTCTGAACGAGTCCTGCTGACAGCCACCACTCTGGCCCCAGAGGCATGCAGGGCCTTCACAGTGTCCCGTCCGATGCCTGCACACAGCGATCAGAGCAGGGTGGGGAAGGGATCACCTCATTGCCCAGGAATGAGCATCAGGAAGAGGTGGGCCAGGAGCAGGGGGCCCATCATGGCTGTTCCAAGTTGGAAGCAGGCCAGGCTGACTGGATGTGGGCTGTGGGGCTGCCTGTCCCAGGCAACGTCTTCTCTCTGGGCCTGAGCGGTGACCACTGGACTCCCATCTATGAGGGACCCATCACGGTTGGTGGTCCCATGCTGACTGGGGCAGGTGGCTGTGACAAGCACACAGGATGCCTCTGGCCACAGGTGGGATCCATCTGCCTCCCTCTCTCCACTGACCCCACCAGCACCCCCCTACTGATCCACACACACCTTTCCCAGCCCCGGTCACCAGGGCCCGCAGGCCACTGAAGCTCATGTGCATTGTGCTGAGCTGAGCCATGGTGGGAACAGAGTGGGATGGAGCTCGCTTTATATCCCGGGCTGAGGGAGGGGGCTGGGACGAAGGAGGGCCGTCCGGGTGCTTCTGCTCGGCTCGTTCTCAGGAATGCTGCTGCTCCCAGTGCTAGTGCTCCTCACCCAGTCTGTGAGGCCCCTTCCATCGAGTGTGTGCGTGTGTGCACCACGCATGTGCGTCTGTACAGACGTGGGCATGTGCACTGCGTGAGAGGATGTGCCAGTGTCATGTCTGTGTGCACGTGTGTGTAGCCTGTGACTGTGTTTGCATGTGTGTATATTCACATGTGTGGTGTGTGCACGTGCACTCGGTGGGTGTGTGTGAACTGGAACATGGTGAAGGAGAGGGTGGTGCAGACCAGACCAGGGTTTAGTCCAGAGGATCAGGTCGCTAGGAGTCGTAGCTGACTTGATGTCACCTGACAACAACACGTGTGTATGCGTATGTTGTGTCTGTGACTGTTTTGTGTGTTTATGTATGTGTTGTGTATATGTGTGTGTTTTGCATGTGCATGCAAATGTATGTTTATGTGCATGTGGTCTGTGAATGTATGTGTATATTTCTGTGGTGTGTATATAGTCTGGTCTAGGCTGTGTGTATATGTGTGTGGTGTGCACGTGTGTGTATGTATAATTGTGTCTTCTAGAACTCTTTACTTCAACCATGGTCCATTTGACATCGGCGGTAATGTCTCTAGTGCCATGGCCTCTCCTAAGCCCAGCTTCTATTTCTGATTGTTGTGCTGTGTACCGTAGGGTCAGGACTGACCCATAGCTGACCCTCTCATCGGTTTTCAAAGGCAGTTAATTGCCCAGGAAGAGCCTATTCTTCTGTGGAACAGCTGGTGGCCTCGAACCACGTACCTTCGGGATTGCACCATAGCCTCTTGCCACTAGGCCGCCAGTGCTTCTCTCTTAATGTACTGTTCCAGCCGTTTTTGGATAACCTTCACCAGGATTTTGCTTGTGTGTGATATTAGTGATATTGTTTGATAATTTCCACACTCTGCAGGTCACCTTTTTTGGAATGGGAATAAATACGGATCTCTTCCAGTCAGTTGACCAGGTAGTTGTCATCCAGATTTCTTGGCACAACCTGGTGAGCACATCCAGGGCAATGTCTGATTGTTGAAATATGTCAATTGGCACGCTGTCAATTCCTGGGGACTTGTTTTTTGCCAGTTCCTTCAGAGCAGCTTGAACTTCCTCCTTCATCACCAGTGGCTCTTGATCATATGTTGTTTTGTTAAATTCTTCTGTGTCAGATCAAAGAGTTCTTTTGTTACAGTGACTTGGTGTATTCCTTTTTTCTTTTGATGCTTCCTGGATCATTCAATATTCTGTCCATAGTATCCTTAAGTATTGCAACTCAGGTCTTGAATTTGTTCTTCAGTTCCTTCAGTTTAAGAAATGCTGAACAAGTTTGGCCTTTTAAAAATTTTTCTGACTCCAGCTCTTTGCACATTTTGTTCTAATACTTTGCTTTGTCTTCCCGTGCTGCCCTTCGAAATCGTCTGTTCTGCTCCTTAACTTTTTGATTTCTTCCCTTTGCTTTGTCCTCTTGGCACTCTTTGTGCAATATTCAGAATCTCTTCTGACATCCATCTCAGTCTTTTCTTCCTCCTCTGTCTTTGTAATGACCTTTTGCATTCTTCCTGGATGATATTCTTGATATCTTCCCATAGCTCATCTGATCCTCGTTTATTAGTGTTCAAGGCCTCAAACCTGTTTCTAATATATTTTTTAAATTCAGGTCAAATTTTCTGTGGATTTGATTTAACCTTCTTTAGCTTTAGTTTGAACTTGCAAAGAGTACCAGAGGAATGTCTATCTGTGCTTCATTGACTATGCAAAGACATTTGGCTATTTGGATCACAACAAATTGTGGCTGACTCTGAGAAGAATGGGGATCCCAGAACACTTGATTGTGCTCATGCAAAACCTATAGTTGGACCAGGAAGCAGTTTTCAGAACAGAGCAAAGAAATTCCCCATGGTTCAAAATTAGGAAGGGAGTGCATCAGGGCTGTGTCCTGTCTCCAGACCTTTTCAATCTGTATGCAGAACAGATTATAATAGAGGCTGGACTTTATGGGGAGGAATGTAGAATCAGGATTGGAGGAAGACTCACCAGCAACGTGCATTATGAAGGTATGCAAGATGATATAACTTTGTTTGCCAAAACTAAGGAGAACCTGAAGTATTTGTTGCAGTAGGTCAAGGACTGTAATCTTCAATATGGACTGAAGCTTAAATCAAGAAGACAAAGATTCTCACCACTTGGTCAATTGACAACACCATGATAGATGGAGAAGAGATTGAGGTTAACAATTTCAGCTTGCTCGGCTCTACAATCAACACTAGGCACCAGCAGTCAGGAAATCAAAAGATCTATTGCATTGGGGAAGTCTGGTGTCAAGGCCCTCTCCAGAGTATTGAGAAGCAACAGTGTCAGTCTGGAGACTAAGGTCAGCCTGCTCCAGGCCATGGTCTTCGCAGTTACTTGCCATGCATCAGAGAGCTGGACAATGACTAAGGATGACAGAAAGAGAATTGATGCCTTTGAGTTGTGGTTCTGGAGAAGAATCTTGAACATATCATGGACTGCCAGGAAAAAAATAGTCTGTCTTAGAGAAGGTAAAACCAAGTTTCTCCTTGGAGGCAAAGATTTTAAAGCTCTGTCTCACATACTTTGGGCACGTGGCCAGAAGGGACCAGTCCTTGAAGTTGAACATCATGCTCAGAAGGGTGTAGTGACAATGCAGGAGAGGAAGACCGCGGATGGAATGTATTGACACAGTAACTCAAGTAACGGGGGGAGGTGTGCTGGAGTCAGGGAGACTGGCTCAGGACAGGGCAGGTTTCAGAGCTGTTGTACACAGGGTCACTATGAGTTGCAGGCGACTCAATGGCACATAACAACATCATCAACATGTATCTGCTCTGTGACTCTGTGTGTGTGAGCATATGGATGTGTGTGGCCCGTGACTGTGTGTGTTTAGGTGTGTATGTGTTTCTGTATGTCTGTCTGTTCTGATTCTGTGTGTGTGTGTGACTGTATGTGTATGATCTCAAGTGGGGAATGTGGCCAAGAAAGTAGGTGGGGGTGCTGTGTGGCTGGAGCCATGGAAGGTTTCAACATGCCATGTGTGCACATGTGTGAGTGTGTCTCTGCATTCACGTGTGCACACATTCATAGGAATCCATGTGTTTGCCACGCCTTGCCGTGCAACGAGAGGAAGGGTGAAGGCCTGGCCTGGCAGGAGCCTCTTTGAGGGTCACAGGGCACCCTTCTCAGGTTCCCGCCCTGTGGCCATCAGATGAGGCACACCTGCTTTGCCTGTTTCTTCTTGCAGTGAGGAGGCCCTGAGGAAGTTCCTGAAACCAGACCTGCCAGGACAAAGGGGCGCTTAGTGGGGGTGGGGAGAGATGCGGGGGGGGGGCACCGGTCCAGCAGAAGCAGGGCACTCTCCCTCCATGTCCTCTCTCCACACCTTCCATGTTCACCCTTCATGTCCTCAGATGCCTGGGACCTCCAGGCTGCTGATTCCACTTGCCTTCAGCCTGGCCACCTGTGGCCTCTCTGTCCAGCCTGGCTACCCCCAGCATCTGTGCCCCCAGCCCTTGCCCACAGGCTCCCTGCCCAGCCTGGTACCAGAGGAATGTCTATCTGTGTTTCATTGACTATGCAAAGGCATTTGTCTGTCTGGATCACAACAAATTGTGGCTGACGCTGAGAAGAATGGGGATCCCAGAACACTTGATTGTGCTCATGCAAAACCTATAGTTAGACCACGAGAGACCCTGAAGTGGTTTGTCCATATCCAGATCCTAGCTCTAGAACTGTCCAGCCACCACTGTCCAGGCCCACACTTGTCCTGCTCAAGCTCTGACCAGGTCAGCTCTGGTGTCACCCTCAAACCTGCCTGGGATCCCCTTGTTCTTGCTCTCACCCTTCCCATGAACTGAGAGGCCCCATGCCACTTTTCATGGCCTCCAGTGCTGCCAGCACACCACACCTTGGACTGGGGGCTGCCGAGCGAGCAGTCAGAGCGGGAGATGAGGTGTGGGGCAGAGCATGGCCCTGGAGCCCGAGATATGGGAGCAAAGTCCCCATTGGTCACTGGGCCCCATGTGGATGCCTGCATGGCCTTGGGGGCTCCAGCCTTGTGTCTGTCATTAGGGCTCATGGTCCCAGTGGCCCCCACCAACGTGGGCATGAAACTGCCAGGCAGAGCTAGACAATCTTCACCGGGCTTCCGAGGAGCAAGGGACAGCGTAGGGTCTACCTGCACATCTGGGCACGCACATAGCACCCTCAGAGACAGGCTGAGTGAGTATGCACACAGACACGCATGTTTACACATGCCGAAAAGGCACACACGGAGATCTATGGATACGTGCGTGTTCACACCAGGCACCCACATGCCCACCCACAGGACACACGTGTACAGACAGATAAGTACACACACTTGGGTGCACACACAGGCCTTGCCCCACCATCCCCTGAGAGTCTCCAGTTTACTCTGCTGAGTTCGGGGTGATTTTTCAGGTGACTGAGTGCCGGAGTGCCTGCCACCCCCAGGTCTAGGTGTGTGGTGATGACAGGGCTCCTCGCCCAGGGCAGTGGCAACCCTGCAGGGAGGCCCAGGACCTCTGTTAGTGGCTCTGTCCTCTGGTGAACCGGAGGAGCTGGGCCTGGCTTGGGGGTTGGGGGCTGCTTTGCTGGAGGCTAAGCCCTTCCAGGTGAGCGGGGAGGGGCTGTGGGATGGAGACAAAGCTCTGTGGGAAACGTAAGGTGATGCTCCTGGGAAAGGCCGGCTTCCCCCAGGATTAAACTGGAGGCACACAGCTCCCTCCCGGGAGGCTGCCCCAGCCACCACCTTCCTGAAGGCACTGTGAGTATTCCCCACCAGTGGCCTAGGTCCTGAGGTCCCCCCTCAAGCAGTCCAAGCCCTGCCGGTGTGCCCCAGCCCCTCCTCTCAGGTCACTTCTGGAGGGACGGCTGCTGAGTGCTTTAACCATTGTGCCACCAGGCCTCCTCCATGTCCCTGAGCTCACCAGAACCTACTGGCAGCTGCCCTAGGACACACGGGACATGCCAGCCCAGATGAGGAGACCATGAGGGGCCACTTCCCCACGGTTCAGGGGGCTGGTCCAGGGGGCTGGTCCAGGGGGCAGAGGCCCAGGGCATAGCACAGAGGGCAATACACTCTGACATCAGTGGCCGAGAACTGCAGGACACCTGCAGAGCCCGATGGCCCAGGACAGCAGTGACTGCAGGGTGAGGACAGAGCTCCCTGGAGCTGGGGTCCTGGGTCACGCCACATCTCTACCTTGCTGTAGCTGAGACCCAAAGCTACTGGCATCAAGTTGGTGTCTACTACTGGACACACAGGCCGCTACAAAACTGCCCATCAGGTTTCCAAAGCTGTAAGTCTTGACAGGAACAGCAATGTGCAGGGGCTGGTGGCACGGGGGTCGGGTGACATGGGGGCCAGTGGCAGGGGGGTCGGGTGGCAAGGGGGGCTGGTGGCAGGGGGGTCGCATGGCATGAGGGTCGGGTGGCACGGGGGTCGGGTGGCAGGGGGTCAGGTGGCACAGGGGCTGTGACACAGGGGTTGGGTGGCACGGGGGCTGGTGGCACAGGGGTCGGGTGGCAGGGCGTCGCATGGCACGGGGATCGGGTGGCACGGGGGGAAGGACATTTGCAAGTCTGGAGGATGGAGACATTGAGCGGTCACTTCACCATGTCCAAGATCACAGAGCTGAGGGACCGAGCGCCAAGGGCAGAGTTGCTGGTGGTGCTGCAGCCAAACACTGAGCTGCCACCCAAAAGGTAGCTCAAACCCACTGGTCACTCTGCCTACAGGTCACCGTATGGGACACATGTTAACCTTCTCTCACGTCTCTTGGGTGAGACAGCATGGAGACGCCAGCGCTTTGGGGGAGGGTTCCCTAAGTCAGGAGGCTTGGGGGCCCCTTGCCACTCTCCCCAGAGGTGGGGCCGTAGTGGCAGTGACCTCTGCTGGCCCTAAGGGTCTGTTCCTTACACCTTAGGGTCCTGACTAGGACCATCCTGTCTACACTGCATGGATTCTCTGCCCCTGAGAATTATCCATCCTGAAGGAGGTGCTCTAGGCAGGATACCCCACAAATGGCCACCCTGGCACGCTGGGCATTGGCACTCTGTGGGCTCGGCCTGCCAAGGGCTAGACCCTGAGAAGCAGGCGTGACAGGATGTGTGTCTTCCCCACTGCGCCCAGCCAGCTCTCCCGCCTCTGCCCAGCACCAAGTGGCCCTGGCTCCTCCAGCTGCAGGCCTAGGCCCTTGAGCTTATGGGGAACACGCTCACAACCACAGCTCCCAGGCAGGCCCCAGCAGTGCCTCATAGGCTCCACAGACTGACAGAAGGCCCACAGCCCCCTTGGTATCAGCTCCCCCAAACCTTCCTTCTCCCCAAGGCCTCACCCCTATACCTACCTGGCAGCCCAAGTCAGGAAGCAAGGTGCTCTTAGCAGTCACTCCCACTGGCCAGATGAACAGAGCTGGGAGAAGTGCAAGGCCTGGGGACTGTGCCTGGGAGGTGGCCAGTGGACAGGGCCAGCCACAGTGCTGGTCATTGCAGCCGAGAAAACATCATGGGTGGGCCTTGCATTGTTTGTTGTTATGTGCCATCGAGTTGCTTGTGACTCATAGCGACCCTATGTACAACAGCCCTAAACCCTGCTCTGTCCTGTGCTAATCGCATTGCCTCTGACACACCCATCTCTATTACCCCAGTCACTGAATCAATCCACCTCACAGAGCGTCTTCCCCTCCTGCGCTGTCCCTCCACCCTCCCAAGCATGATGTCCCTCTCCAAGGACCTCTCCCCCCTTACAACATGTTCAAAGTAGGTCAGATAAAGCCCCAGAATCCTTGCCTCCAAGGAGCAGCCTGGTTCAACCCTCTCCAGGATGAATCTGTTTGTTTTCTTGGCAGTCCATGGTACATTCAATACTCTTCTCCAGCACCACAGCTCAAAGGCATCAATTCTCCTTCTATCCTCCCTGGTCATTGTCCAGCTCTCTGATGCATAACAAGTGATTGCGAAGACCATGGCCTGTATCAGACGCACCTTAGTCTCCAGAGTGACACCATTGTTTTTCAGTACTTTGGAGAGGTCCCTAACAGCAGACTTTTCCATTGCAATACGTTTTTTGATTTCCTGGCTACTGGTGCCAAGAGTGTTGACTGTGGAGCCAAGCAAACTAAAGCTGTGAACAATCTCAATCTCTTCACCATCCATCTTGATGCTGCCAATTGGTCCAGTGGTGAGAATCTGGAAAAATGTAAACACTGTTTCTCTTCATTGCTGCCTTCTGGAGCTTCCTCAGACGGACACTAGCCCTGCCTGCTGACCTGGCCTGCATGGCCAGGGGCTGCTGAAACGCCCCGTGCTCAGTGGCTGTGCTCAGTGGCTGTCCCATAGGGAGATGCCGCCCACCCTTGCAGCATGCTTGTCTGTGTGAGGCTGGCATTTCAGTGGTGGCAGTAGGGCTCACTGCAGTTAGGGCAGCTCCCACCTCCAGCACCCAGACTGTCATTACCCCTGACCCCACCTGGTCTGTGTGATGCACCCCCTCTGGCACGCCTTACAAACCTGTCACACACTGTTGTTTTTGTTGAAATAGCCAATCGCTTAAAGAAAATCTAACAATACAGCCTCTGACACCCTCATTCCTTAGGGAAAACTTGCATTTCTGCCTCTGAATTTCCCTTCCTCTTTACGACTTCCCTTAGCCTTTCCAGCCACGGGGGAGGGTCTGCGGGGGACACTCTGCTTCTGTTGGAGGGATTTACTTAGTCGCTGTTGCAGATTGCTGTCGAGTCAAGCATGGCTCACAGCGACCTACGAACAAAAGGCCTGAAGCCGCTCTACAACTATCGACATTTATCAAAGTTGATAGTTTCCGGAGGTGTGTGGTTTAGGAAGTGGATGCCACTCCTGCTTCTCAGAGCTGACCCTCCACAGGTTTTCAGAGGCTGTTAACTGCACGGAGGGGAGTGCCCATCTTTGTCCCACGGAGCAGCTGGGGGTTCGAACTGCCTGCCTTGGGGTTGGCAGCACAGCTCAGCCAACAGAGCTTGTGTGAAGGAGGTTTTCCTTTGCCAGCTTCTGAAGTGAGTTGAGCTGCTGTGGCAGCTGGTGGTGTTTCCAGCACACCTTCAGTGCCCTGGTGGCACGGCATATGCTCCGGACAGCACCGCACGGGATATGGTGCTGTGTGCTGAGCTGTGAACCAAAGGTCAGTGGTGTGAACCCACCAGCCATTCTGAGAAAGAAAGACGGGCAGTCAGCTTGCAGACCAGAGGGAAGGTCACGGCGGGTCGGAGCAAGTCAGCAGCACCGGGTTGGTGGCTACAGCTGGACTCTTCCAGCAAGATCTCACCTCAGCCCTGAGGTGGGGTGGGGGAAGAAGCGATGAAGGTGGGGACAGTGGGAGGGGGAGGACCACTTACTCGTCTATTTTTATACCTGGTTTCCTCCTGTTCTCGAGTTCTCCTCTTTTCCTTATTCATTACTAACTGGTCCTTGTGACATTTAATGGGAAATGACTTCTTGCTGACCCTACAGCGGGCTGTCGGAGGCTGCAAATCACCTGCAGAAAGACTGCCCATCTTTGTCTGTGGGTTTGAAGCACTTCTTTGGATCCAGGCCACCAGTTCCTCCTTATTCCACCTTCAGTACAGAAAAGAATCCGCTATATTATGATTTCTCTGTTCAGTAACTAGGGGTTTCTCTTGATCTGATCCTAATGCGTTTGGTTCTCGTTGCTCCATTATCCCCCTCACTGAATGTTGTCTTTTCCTGTCTGGTGGGGCTAAGTTAGCCGAGAGAGCAGAAAGTGGACACAGTCCAAGTCAGTCTGAAGGGGTGAGTCAGGTTCCCTGCTCAGGGGCAGGTCCCCCAGAAGGTCAACAGGACACCAACAGCTGAGCTCGTGTCTGTGGAGTCTCTGTACACGGGGGAATGAAGTCACTGGTGAACGTGAAGATAGTTTATTGGACAAGAGTCCAGGCGGCAGGGGACCTGGAGACAAGGGTGACATGGTCAGAGATCCCTGCCCCACTGGGACCATTGATGGGGCCGATGGCCTGTCTCAAGCTGAGGAGAGGAGGTGGGGCGATGTCCCAGGCCAGAGCCATCAAGAGGAGCAGGGTTCTCGTGGCCTCGGTCTGCAGTCCCTCTGAACCAGCCTTGGGGGCTGGCCCCTCCAGAAGGGCCTGTCAGGTTCAGGCATCCTTCCTTGGGCCCCTGAAGACACTTTCTTGCCTTCTGAGGTGTCAAGGACAGACATTAAAGTCCAGCCTCAGGCAGGACACAGCTGTCCTTGTATTCCTAGATGCTGCCCACTGCACTGTGGAGTCCAGAGGGGGAAGGGCAGCACCACCTTCTGCGTCAGATCTCCTTGTTCATCAGGAGGCTGGGGTCACCCCAACTTCCTGGCAGGGCACCACTCTGTATCTGGATAGAGGAGGCAGTGCACCGACTTAAACCTGAGAAGGTAGAAAGGAGGATCAGTCTGTGAGAAGGGGAGTGCTCTCTGAGCTCCTGCCAGTTGCGCCCACTGCTCACCGAGTGGGGTCCTGCTGCAGGCTGAAGCCTCCGGCCACGTTCACCACATTATATGGGTTTTCTGGACCACCGTAACTCAAGGTGACCTAGAGGTGAGGTGGGAGTGAGTAGCTCTGATCTCAGCCACATCCCCTCTACATGCCGCCAGAGTCCAGTGAGGAGAGGCCACCCTGTTTCACTTCCCTTTGCTGGGAGGGTTTTGGAGCTGGGACAGGATGGGGTTCGGCAGAGTGGAAGGGGCGTGGCATGACAGGTGTCGTAAAAGGGGCGTGGCATGATGTGGGCGGGGTGTGAGAGTGGAGGGGGCGTGGCACAGCCAGACGAGGCAGAGCAGGGGGCGTGGCCGAGTGGGGGCGTGGCATAATAGGGGGTGCGGAGTGGAAAGGGCAGGACACACCAGCGTGGCCATATCCTGTCCTGACAGGGCCTGCAGGTGGACTAGTACCTGCTGGAGCACAGCATCTGGCCGCAGCCTTGGCAACTTCTCCAGATGTGAATGGAAGAGCGGGCTGTGCAGTAGGCGCGCTCCCAGCAGCCCCTCCACAATGTAGCCCACCGTACAGTCGTCCGGCAGCCGCACCCTGTCCGCAGTGCTCATGAAGCTGCCCAGACTGGAGAGGAGGGTGGGTTAGTACTGCCCTGAGTTTGCCTCCCGCACCACATTCCAGCCCCCACGCCCCACTCACCCGGCCCAGGGGCTCATTTTGAGGGCCAGACCCCTGCTGAGGCAGAATCCAGCCCCACCGGTGGCAAACCAGAACTTGGCGGTGGTCACCTGGGGGTGAGGATCTAGGTCGGACTGTGGACACTTAGGCTTGCACTCATTTCTCCTGGAGCGCAGACCTGAGTGACCCTTTTAAGGCTGTCCCTCGAGAGCTCTGGCATGGCCTTCAGGGCCCTTGCGCCTGCCCACCACTCCTTGTCCTCCGTGTGCCCCATCGCTCCTGGCACCCTCCCCTGCTTGGTCTGGGGCACTCACAGTGCCGCCCCCTGGGGCCCGCTCAGTGGCCTCAATGGGATGGTCCAGGCTGGGCCGCCCGAGATAGATGTCCTGGCTGGGTGAGAAGGAGGCCAGCAGCTGCAGTAAGACCCTGGGGTTCACGTAGTTGTCGTCATCCACATGGCAGAACCACCTGGACAGCCGGGAGGGGTCCCGTGAGCGGCCAACCCCCGAATCGGGCCAGGCAGTTAGGGTCCCCCACCTGCACAAAGCCCTGCCTACTTGCGCCCTGACTCGATGAACCTGTCATACTCCACCGCCATCTTGCAGGACAGTGCCTGACGTGTGTGCACAGGAGAGCAGTTGGTGTTGATAACGTGATCACCTGCGAGGGGTTGAAATGGGCAAATGGAAGGCTCCCAGCCAAGCAGAAGGCTGGACAGGCTGCCACCCAGGGGTCTCAGCCTCACCCTGCCCAGGGCCTCCACTGATCCAAGCAGTTGGTGGCCACTTGGGATCACGTGAACAGAAATGCTGTGGGTGTGTGTGTGTGGGGGGTGTTGGTGTGGGAACATGTTCAAGTAGGAACTTTGTTGCTGCCCAGCAGGTGTGGGCCTGGGAAGGAGGTGGCCTGAGGCCAAGAAGTCAGGTGGTAGCCAGGCAGGATGTATAGTGGACAGTGAGCAGGGTCCTGGGATCCCGAGGGCCAGTGGCAGGACCCCTGGCCCTGCCCATCCTCAGGGACCCAATTTCCCAAGCCTCCTGCCATCTACTAAGAACAGAGGAACGGTGAAGGTGACCACCCCTTGAGCTGGGGAACACTCACCCCCCTGGAGCTGCAGTGCGGGATCGTTCCCATCAGTGAAGATGAAGGTCTGGGAGGAAACAGACTGTGAGGCCGCAGGACCACTTTCCAGTGACCCGGGCTTTGAGAGAGTCTGCTAGGGTGTAGAGTGGGGGTGCTCACTGTTGGCTGCCATCCTGTCACCCGTGTCAGGCTGATGGATTGAGTCTCAGCCAAGTCGGGCTCAGAAAGTGATGGCTGGGTAGGCTGACCACAGGCATTGGATCTGGAGGGCTTAGCGACCAGGGAAGTGGGGGCTGGCAGGGGCCCCCAGATCTGGCGGACACTCTAGGGGGTGGGGAGTGGGGGGTCCAGCTGCCGACCTGCTGGCGGGCCTGGGAGATCCAGGTTTGCAGCAGCAGCCCCAGGCGCGGCCCGTGATTCTTCCGGGTCGTCTTGACGGCGATGAAGACATCGTGGGGCTGCAGGCTGGCCGCTGGCCGGGCGGAGGTCGCCACTTGGGCGGCGGCTGGCGGGCCAGGGGCCGGGACGGGCAGG